GTAAAAACGTTTCAGTCGGTATAAACCGATTGAATAATACCCTGCACCTTTCGTTATTGTGTAGCAATTACTCGAACCTGTGAAGTCATTCTATAGAAACTTCACGGATATGTCTGACCTATAATTGGACATTCGACTGCCAAGTTTCATAAATCTGACTTTATAATTTTTCCAAATATTTAAAATTAGCTTTTGGAGTTGTATGGCAAGTACCTGAACCTGTCAAACAATTCCATCAAAACTTCACAAATATATCTGATCTACAATCGGACACACAACTGCCAAGTATCATGAATCTGACTTTATTATTTTTCCAAATATTTAAAATATGCTTTTGGAGTTGTTTGGCAAGTCCCCGAACCTGTCAAGCAATTCCACTAAAACTTCACAAATATATATGATCTATAATCGGACACACAACTGCCAAGTTTCATGGATCTGACTTTATTATTTTTCCAAATATTAAGAATAAGCTTTAAGACTTGTATGGGAGCTACTCGAACCTGTCAAGCAATCCCATTAAAACTTTAGAAATATGTCTGACCTATAATTGGACACACAACTGCCAAGTTTCATCAATCTGACTTTATTATTTCTCCAAATATTTAAAATTAGCTTCTGGAGTTGTATGGCAGGTACCCGAACCTGTCTAGCAATTCCTCTAAAACTTCACAAATATATCTGATCTATAATCGGACATCCAACTGCCAAGTTTCATGAATCTGACTTTATTATTTTTCCAAATATTTAAAATTAGCTTCTGGAGTTGTATGGCAGGTAACCTGTAAAGCAATTCCTCTAAAACTTCAGAAGTATATTTGACCTATAATTGGACACATGACTGCCAAGTTTCATGAATCGGACTTTATTATTTTGCCGAATATAAAAAATTTGCTGTTGGAGTTGTATGGCAGCCACCCGAACCGGTGCAGCTATCCCATTATAATTTTTAGAGCATGTGTAGAATATAATTGGACACATGTGTACAAAGTTTTATATTTACAGCTTTATTAGTTTTTGAAATATTCAAAATAAACTCTTTGAGTTGTATGGCAGCTACCCGAACCCGTTGTCCGAATTAGTCCAATAACAATAGGGCTCGTCCTTGGCACAAAAGAAAAAACTTGTGAAAGTTTGGTGTCGATTGCATTATTCGTTTTTGAGTTATCGTGCGAACGGACGGACGGACGGACGGACGGACAGACGGACATGTCTAAATCGACGCAGAATTTTACGCTGAGCAAGAATATATATATATGTCCATACCGCAGATGACTCCTTCAAGTAGTTACAAACTCCATACCAAAGTTAATATACCCTTCACGAAGTGCAGGGTATAAAAAGGGACTGTTTTTTCTTTTAAGCACAAAATAAACACAAAAACAATAAAAACAAAACGTTAAAAAAAATTTAAAAAAATTGAAATTTTATAATTTTGAGGACTTTAAAAGATATTTAAATATTTTAAAAATGATCTTGATAAATTTGATGCTAATGATGTTGATTATTTCGTCTTTCATTTAATTTTTTTAAGACTCTTCAAAAATTCTGAAAACAAGTGTTTATAGTTTCCCTCTGTCCGTCCATACCTCCGCGGACCTATTTGCAAAACTTCTACACACTTGAAGATAGAAAGTTGAAATTTCATAATATATCAATGGATCTTTACTAGAAACTTACTTTTGTAGAAGAAAAGTTTTAGTTTTCTCTTCTTTTCCTCTAAAAGTTATAACCTCTCAAAGAGCCATTTTAAAGAAACCATAAAAATTCAAATGAAAAAAAGTTGCGGCTGGTATTTTTTACAGCGGCGCAGCATAACCGATTATTTAAAAGAAATGTCTGCTAAAAGTAACCGTTACCTAAAGGCCATTCGTTTTCAAGTTTTTGATATTGGATTTCTTCTCTGAAATGGGCTGTAGAAGTCTGAAACTTTTCTAGCTTTCAGATACTAATAAAAAAAATTTCCCAACTTCACCCCCTCGCAAGTTTTCGCCTCTCCAAATTTGTAAAAGTCGCTTTTTTGGCAGCATATATTTCCGAAACTTCAAGTTTTTTCAAATTTCTATGAATGAAAGCTAACAATAAATGACGCAATCAACCCTTGAATTCGAGTATTATAGTAAAGCCTCTAGTTTTTTTAAAAGCAGTGTTCTCACTTGCAAACTAGCTACTTTACAAACCCTTTAGTGTCCTTTTAAAAAAAAATGTTGAAAATCAAATAATATGAAGTATGAACTGAATAATATGGTTTCAAGATTTTAAAACATTTTCAATGTTTGGAAAATTTTTGAGTTATATCTACATATATTTATAAGTATGTGGTGATGTGTATTTCTAACAAAAATATTTGTATTTGTATTTTCCATAAAATTTTCCATATTAAGTTTTTAAGGGAAATTTCTATTTTTCAGTTTTTTTTTAAAGAATATTGGTTCACGTCAGAAATTATAATTTTAATATTTGGTTTTTGTAACTACTTGAGTATTCTCATATATTTTGTAATTTTCAGTATATTTAAAAAAAAACTGAAAAGTAGAATTTAACAAGCTGAAAAGGATATAATTTTTTTTTTGTATAAATTTTTAAGTCTATAAAATAGTCTCTGCTATTAGTGAATGAATTCAAATTAATGCACCACTATTATAATGTTATTCAAAATTACTTTGTAGAAAAGAATCTTGAAAGGAAACGGAAAATAATTAAAAATTACTAGATATTTTGCATGTACTCGAAAATTGAAAAAAAAGTGAAGTGATGAAGTATCACAAAAATTGGTCACGGTTTTTTCGTAAACAATTAATAATGTATCTCGAATATCCGTAGCAAAAATAAAAGTTTACATAAGAAATTCGCAAAATGGAATTAGTAAGTGGAAATTGAAAATGTGCTAATTTGGCTTTTTTGTAATTTTTTTAGATATTTTAATAATTTTAGATATTTTATTAATTAGATTGTACTATTACATAGTTTTAAAAGCAATTTAACATCAAAGTATATTTAAGGAAATTCCTAAGTATACTCGTAATTGTTAATGTGCACATATTGTTAACTAAAATATTTCAAATTCATTTAAAATATTTTTTTAGTATTTTGTTTGCACAAATATTATGTCTTGATAGTAAGTGTTGCATTATATAAATACAGGATGAAATATACAATAAAAATCATCTTTGTATATCAGGAAAATCAAACTTTATTTTCAAGTTATAAAAATACCATATGAAAAATGTTTATACTTTTAGAACCAGAAACACAATGGTGTTAATTGTTTTTTTTTATAATTTATACTAAAACTGGTCTTAAAGGATCAACCTTTAGTATTATTCTGTTGATTTTATAAACTACGTAATGTAAACTTTAGATAACCCAGTGGTCCCCCCGAATTGAATCTGGTGCATCAGGCGTGCCCGTATGTGGCAACGTGCCAGCTATCAGAAGTTGGTAAACTTCTTGTGTCATGAGACTCGTAAAAAAGCCGTTTGACTTCAGCGTTGACGTGATTTCATAATCCGTTGTTATGCTTGTTGGCCACAATTTCAATTTAATCTTTGACAAAATTCATTTTTAGATCTCTGTAAAGGTCGAAGTTACGAACGTACCAAGGTGCGTTGACTATGTTTCTCAAAAGCGTTGTTTTAGAAGCGTTGTATTTTCTGAATATGCGTCTGCTTGGCGCATGCCCAATAGCCAATAAAGTTTACTGCACTCCAGATTCAGCTCGGCTTTTTTTATTTTGACGTGCTCTTTCCACCTTAGTTTTGTGTCTAGAGTCATCCCTAGATACTTCACGGTTGTCTGGAATGGGACAATTGTGCCGTTTATGTAGACAGGTACGTGTTGGTTTATATGTTTATTTGTAAAGTTATTTCCATCATCATCTCGTTTAGTTTAATGTTCCATTTTTTCGTCCGATTTTTTGTTGCTTTATTTGGATCGGAAGCGGTTGTTAACAATCCCGTATCGTCAGCAAAGGTGGCCACTACCACATCCTCAGGCATGTATACAATGGTCACTTCCTGGACGGAATGTCACTTCCTGGAAAGGATGGGGCCCAGGACACTATCCTGTGGAATTCCCACTTCGATGTTGTACAGATTTGAATATTCGTCTAACTCTAAATACTCCGTTAGACAGGTATAATTTTAAAAGATTCACTGGTGCCAAGTTTGTCTACAACGCCTGCATGCCACACCTTGTGAAATGTTAGGACTACGTCAAGAAATATGGCAATTGTATTATATTAGTAAAACTTGTATTTTCGCTATTTTTTATCGTTAAAAGAAATTTTTCATTTCAATTTATTTTCTAAACACCTAATCCTGGAATTTTAATTGCGGCGCAACAGTTGTTTAGACTATTGAAACCATTAATGACAAAATCTTTCATAGCACTTCCATGATGAGGTTTCGAATAAAAAAAACATATTAATGTACTTAATTATTGTAACGAACTCATCACGTTGATGTTTATTCACATTGTTTTTCAAAATTCTATATTATTTAATCCTAAAAAACAGTAAAAATAAAATATATGTATATATTCACACAATATGTATACGGTGTATACAATTGTATTTTTAAGAAAGAAAATTCAAACATATTATACGTAATTAAATTATTCAGCGAAAATTTGTTTGTGTGTTCATTTTTTTTATTATTCAAATTTTCTCTTATCGAAAAACATTTGAAATGTTTTCATTCCTTTTGTTGTATATTTTCACTTTATTTTTATATCTGAAATTTCTCACCCTAATCGTCACTTCGCTTAAAATCAAAACTTTTCCCATACACACAAAATCACAAAAAGAAAAACTGATTGAGTGATGCAGAAAAAGAGTTTTCCCCAATTATCTTTCTCCTTTTCTATTTTCTTTTTCTTATTAACACTCTCCCAAACAATACCAATATGTATTTAGTGGTGCGCAATATATTCAATCATTGTTGGCTTTTTTTATAATCATTTGTTTTACTTATTCAATATAAAATTTTTCCACAAAATTTTGTGAGTTTAAATTAAAATCATCTCTTGCGATATTTCTTGTTTTTTGTGAATTTTTAATTTCTATTAAGAAATTTCTACGAATACACCTCATTTGTATAACGCCGGTGAAATAAGAGAAAGAGAAGCGCGCAGTAAATTTTTAAGAACTATTTAAATCTTTTATTTAATTAAAGTACAAAAAAAACTTTTTGTTCCCGTTTGCTGTTTATTGTATTTTTAAAATAAGTTGCTTTTCGGTTGAACGCTTTCCAAATATTACAGTATATATGTAAATACAGTATGTACATATAAATATACATACATATATGTATGTAGATACATGGTTAATTGATCGAATTCCGCTGCTATACTTGTAGAATTTTGTTTAAATTCTAATTTTAAATGAAAAAATACAGACAAGGAATACAAAAAATATATCATAAAATAACTTTGAAAACGTAATGGATTTTTTTTTATCGAAATTTATTAATCGTTCCTCGCCAAGTAACGGAACAGAATTAACGAATGAGGAAAGCTATTGTAACCAAATTGAAGATGAGACAATTAAAAATTCAAATAATCATTCAAGTGAGGGTCGCGATCAAGGATTGCAGGTGAATCAAAATTTACCGGACATTAATTTCATTACGAACAACGCAAGTACATGTGAGGAACAAATAAATTACAACTCAAACGGTAGTAAAATTGTATTAGACGAATCCTCTAAGCTAAATTTAAATGGAATTAATGCTGAACACAAAGCAATGGAAATTTTACTTTCAGGAAGCCCTAAAGAAGAATCAGGAGTATATCCATTAAGCGCAGCAAGCTTATTTTCGGAGGAAATTATTCCGTCTACCAGTAATGATTCACAAGTAAATAAAACGGTTATTACACAAACAAATATCCTTCCTAATTCTAATATTAAGATTCATCAGAAATCAACAGATAAAACTGACAATATAAAGAAAAACAGTGAAATAGAAATCGAAATGACTGAAAATCGTACTAAAATCTCGAAGAAAAGCATTCAATCAAATCCGAAGGAATTTTCTGCAATGCAAGAAACATTAATCCAGGGGCCAAATATTGACAATATTGCAAAGATAGATCCAGATTTTACAAATAATACCGTTGAAAATCAATTATATAATTTCAACCAAAAAAAAATGGGAATACAAGATCCACCTGACATTGAAAACTTTAATGAAATTTTGGAACTACTAGCTCAAGAAGATCTTTTAGATGAATTTTCAATAGCCACTGCTATACAATATTTAAAAAATTCAAATCAAGAATCAGAATTATGTGAAATAAATTCAGACTTAGTCATCAAAGACGAAACTGAATTGAATCAATCTAGCATAGTAAATAATAATGATAACCCTTTTATTCAAGAAAACTGTTCTAATATAATTAACTTGACGAATTACGTTGCCGAGTCAAAAACAGCAGATAAAATATTTGCAACTAAGATTGATGAAAATAAAGACCAATCCGTTTCAAATAAAACGGACAGTTTAAATGATGAAATTCTAAATATTACAAATAATAAAGTTGAAGTACCGCTTGAAATTTTGCATGAAAAATGTGATACTACTGTAGCAAAGAAGGAACAATATGAAATTTTAGGCACCAAATTTTCAAAATATGATATTAATTCTTTTACTGACATTAACTCGAATAAGTCTCTCCTATTAAACGAAAATTTAAATCCAAATACAATATCCACTGTAAACACAGAACTTTTGAAAGAGCAGCAAGAACAAAAATCAAGTGCATCGACAAATATTTTAAATTCCAAAAAAATAGCACCACTAGACGACATTAAGATAAAAGAAAATGTCAAGGTGGGAAGCCCTATAAATATAAAAATTAAAAAGAAAAAACGGACATACATACATACATACATATGTACATTCATATGGATTATAAATTTTTAATTTTACTTTTGCTTAAAAATAAACATATGTACACAACATCAAACACATGCAATATAGTTACGTAAATGCACATCTATGCACACATGTATATATTTTAAACATGTATTTACACATACACACATATTCTCAAATTTTTTATATTTTATGAATTGTGTTAAAAATTTAAATAAAAAAATTTTTTTATAATTTTTGGCATTCATTATTGGAAGCCAACGTAAAAACAGAATTGCTTTTTTCACTCATTCATAATTGTAATGTGCATATGTTAATGTTAAAAATAAATTTTTATATATGTATGTACATCGTTAATCCATTATCTCGTGCCAAAAAATGTCAAATACTTTAAATTTGTAATAAAGAAAAAAGTTATCTAGAATATTAGAGTTCCTCAGAAAGCTAAAAGCAAAATGACGAACCGATGAACGAACAGCTAAAACATATGTTAATATGCACTTGAATTTTATTTTTAATTGCCCTACATTTTCATAGATTGTCATTATAATTAAAACCTTTGAATTTGTGCATTTTTATAATAGTTTTCCCTTTTTCCCTACTAAGAAACATAATTTTTTTTTTAAATGGATTTGTCGGTATGGAAAATCAAAAAGTTATTGTTTAATTTAATTGAATTTATTTGAATTTAAAAAAAATAAAAAAATTAGTTTTTGTCTAATTTTAATTTGTATTTTCTAATTTTTTTTGATTTATAAATAGCCTGATCATAAATACTTTGATAACTTAATAATTATTATATGATGCTTAGAAGCATATTTGATTATTAAAATTCATTTTTATAATTATAAATATGTATAATGTTAAAAAAAAATGTTTTCCAAAGAATTGAAGTTTTTAAAAGATGCATATGTGTGTATATATGTATATGTAATTATAATTTATAATTTGTAATATACTAATTAGTATATATGTATATTAAAAAAATTTTTTGAATAAATTTTTATGTACTATAGCTATGCAAAGGCAATAAAAAAAAGACAATTTTTATCTGTAGCATATATTATTATACAGTATAGACTTTTTTGAATTATTGTAATATTTACCAATTCTTATCAACACAAAAGATCAAGCACGGAGCTGTTAACAAATATATTATAAATGCTGATTTTATTTCTGAATAATAATACCTACATATGTGTAATCCATTAATTCTTAATGTTGTATTTTGTAATTAGTTCTTAATTAATTTCGGCTAAAAATTTTAATAGGAAATACATATAAAAAATATAAACAGAATATGTTTTTAAAAAGTATACTATTTCTGTCATAATTACAATTTTGCTATATTTTACATAAAAAAAAATTAAAATTTCTTGTATTTATCGTGTTTACATATGTATGTATGTACATATCGTGTCTTTGCAATAAACTTATGCAATATATAAATTTTAAATGTGAAATTGAAGTCATGTTTCAAACTATAATATTTGTTTTAATAGAAATTATTATTAATTTAAATTCTATATCTAATATTTTCATGTTCCATAATTATAATCATCATCCATATCAACATTACTGTGGAAATTTGCAGCAACCAGCTAGTGTAGCAGCAACAGCTAGCGATACAGTCAATGTAAAACCGGTGGAGAATTCTGCAATAGCTAACAAACAAACTCAATTTCAATCAAACAAAAATATTTCAAAAGTAAAAGAATCTGAGGAAAATATCGATCCAATCGAAACTAGAAGATTTGGTGACGTTTCCAGTAAGTTTTATCAATTTCGTTTTTCAAGAATGTATTTGAAAGAAGAAAGCAAAAATAAACCGTTTTAAATCTTAGGTTTGTTTTCAACACCCGATTCGGTATCGCCAAACGGAACATTTTCAGAAGCTACTTTGCCAGATATTATAAATACGTTACCAACTATAAGTGAGTCAATTTAATTTTTTTTTTGGAAAAAAAGATTTGTTTAACATTTAATGTATGCTTTTAGCTATAGATACTCAAGGAAACGATATTTTAAATATTTCGTCATTAACCAGTCATTTAGATGCCTTACATGTTCATAATTCAGGTACGTTTTCTAGAAGCATTTACTTTCTTAAATCCGTCGTCAATTTATAGTTCACATAATTTTTTTTATTTGATTTATTTTGTTTCAATATTATTTATATTATTATTTTTCTAAATCATAATTTTAAAGAAAAAAGTCCAAACACTCTAAATGCGACTATTACCAAATCAAACGTTTCACCAAGTAATATCTCGTCAGATGATGAATTATTTGCCGAATGTGAATCGTTTCCAGCAAGCGCAAATAATTCAACAACTGATTTTAATGCTACTAATAAGATTGAAACTGAACAGCCAATCAATTTGGATACCAATTTGAAATTGAATATGCAATTTGTTGAAAATTGTAAGAGCGATTCAAGTACTTTTTCTGAAGTAAATATTGTCCAAAATGTTTCTCAAAATGATATTGAAATTGATTTAAATCAAAATTTAAAAGAAGAGCCAAATTGCAGTATAACAAGTAAAGCACAAGATGCAATATCTCAACGGCCTGAGATTGATACAATTAACAATAATCAGGATTTAAATGCAAAAAATTTAAATAAAGGTAGCGAAGTGAAAACTGATTATGATGCAGAAAAAGGTAGTGTTTTCGAAATTTTGGATGAAAAGACTCCTGAAGATAGTTTGGAATATATACCAACCGAGCAAAACATAAAACAAAAACAAAGCTCAAATTCATCTATTGATATTGATAGCATGTCTGACTCCCTAAATGACACAAATAGGAAAACAAGTGAGTCAGCTAATTTTAACCACCAACTAAACATTAGTGCGCAATGGTCTGATATTGTTTCATCAATTAATTCTATTGAGCAAGAAAATTTAGAAAATTCACAACTTGATTTATTGAATACCACTCCACAAGTAATAGTACAGGCAGCTTCCACTGCACCAATTGTTGATAAAAAATCTTCTAAATACAATACCCCCAATCTTGTGGAGGAAGAAACTCTTTTATATAAAAAACAGGATAAAATCTGTATTTTCGAACATACGAATGAGAATATAGAAAAACAAACCAACGCGCAAAATGAGCAATTTAAATTAAATGTGATTGAAGTTCCCTTATCAAAAGATGATACTTCTGAAAAAGAAACTACTATGAATATTACTTCTGAAATAAAGTCAGCTTTTCAATCCCTTAATATTGCGGGACAAGAAAATAATTTATCCAATTCATTAGATTGTAGAAACTGTCTTAATGATGTCGAAAATTTAAACATAATTCAAAGTGTATCAGAAAGCGTTCAACCAAGTTATTCTAATGATGCAACAATTGCAGTCTGTAGCGAAAAAACGGATAAAACACATGATATTGTCATAGAAAATGACTCAAAATTATCCCCTGATAGATCTTTTTCGTCAAATTCAAGAGATTCCCTGAATGATATTGAAATTATGAACATAACTCAAAATGTATCAGCAAACATTCAACCGAGTTACTCTAATGATGTAACAATTGAAGTCTGTGACGAAGCGATGAACAAAACACATAATGTTGCCATAAAAAATAATTCACAATTACTACTTGACAGAACACAAGAGTCCCCGAAACTCACAAATATAACAAAGGAGAGAGCCTTAAATGAAATGAGAAATGAACCCGATATTAATAAAGAAATTGTAAAAAAATTAGATAATGCATCACCGTCTGCTTTGGAGAATAATTTCAACAACTATTTTTGCAAAGTGCAAGATGAAAAATTTGATTGTGTTACTTCTACTTTGAATTTAGGAAAGGCAAACAACGATTTAAAATTCAATAGCGTTCAAGTTAGCAATTTGAATTTACCAGATGGGTGTAACCTAACGGATAAAAATGATAATTCAGAACACATTGTAAATGCAAAACGAAATTTGTCGAATATACCCAATTGCAATAATGATTTTGAGTATATGGATGTAGATATAAGTTTTGAAAATGAAAATCAAGAGATATTTACAAAAATTAATGATAATATTGAAAAAACTGAAACCGCTCCGTTTAGCATACTACCTCAAAATTTTGAAATATGTAAGAATATGGACGAATTTAAGAGCATTGGAAATGATAATAATGTAGATTGTGAGTTTTTGTTTGAATTTTTATTTTATTTTTTTATATTTTTTTTAATTAATTTTTGGTTTAAGGTAACTTTGAACAAAAATTTAATATTATTTTCAATATTTTAATATTATTAACATGATAAGATAAATGCGGTAAAGTGAAGTCTAAGCATAAAATTTGGTATATTGAAAAGTGTGCCACAACTTATTCAATTTTTTTTTTAAATTTAGTTTTCATAAGTCTTTTTAAACTTATTTATTTAAAAATTTTATCAAAATATTTAATCATCTTTTAAGTGTATGATTTAATTATCATAATGTTAAATCATACACTTAAAAGCGCAGGGAAAAATTTTTATTGTATTCCGCTAATCAAGAATTGTATTTTTCATCGTTGGTGACTTGCGCTTATTCTGACTTTAATTTTCTTTCAATTAACTCAAGAATTCTGAAATTCTTCATACAGCTGTTCTACGAAAAATTATTGTTTTATTAGAAAAGGAAAATTAAAAATAAAAGAAAATCGTTATAAAACTATATGCCAATATTGGAATAATTTTTATTATTACACAATTTAGATGCAGTCGATATTTTTAAATGTAGATTTAAATAAAATCTTAAAGATGTTTTTAAAATATCCGTAAGAAAATTGAAAAAATAGGAAATAGTCCCTAGAAAAACTCATTGCAAATAAAAATTCAGGTATAAGAATACGTTTTCTTAAGTGCAAGAAATTATTTTCATACATACTAACAAAATTCTAAAGTAGAGTTTTCACATTAGGGTGAAGAACTTAAAAATATTGGTAAAGAGCTTACAAATAAATTAATTTAATTTTTTAATCAAAATTACTATTACGTGCTATCGGAATTCTAATTTTTATAGATAGGTATCTATGAAAATTAAAATTCCAGTAGGGATTAATTCGCTTTAACTACATTTCTCCGCCGACATGTTACTTTAAAAAACTCAAATACAAATTATATATTTTATATTTTTTCAACTTCTTTATTGTTTTTAATCATTTTTCATATTTGAGATTTTTAATCTGACTTCACTTTTTATAGTTTTGAAAATAATTTGTATTGTGAAAAACATAAGTTCGGAGGAAAATTTCTTGAAGTTACAGAGATTGTAACAGAAAATGATTGTAAGATATTTCTTCATTATCTTGTGGTATTATTTCTCTTTCCTCTTTCCTGTAAATGACATTGCTTGCTGCTCGATAAATTATTAACTGCTCGTTTGTGAATATATGATGTTTATTGCGCATTTTTCGGTGATATATTTAATGTTTTATCTAAGCAACAGTTTTCTGATATACATATACAAATGAGTTAAGATTTAATTTTATCTGTGAAGGAATTATTTTATTTTTCTAGCCGATGAGCTCAGGGGTCTGACTGTTTTCAGACGTCTTTACACTTTATGAGCTTCAGATATAAGATTTGTAAAGTAGTTTTGAGACATTTCCCCTTAACGAAACCTACATTTCACTGTAGCTTCCCTACACTTTCCAGTCGTTGCTTTTCAGTCAGATATACATACATATGTACATATGTATATGTACCTATATTGTGACAAATTATACATATGTATGTGAATAACTTCTCAATTGTTGTTAACTTGTCAAATATTGTAACTTGAACTTTTGAATGTTTCTGATACCGTATGAGGGAAGGGGATTTTAAAAGTTTGGTTTATGTATTTATTTATGAATTTATTTATTTATAAATTTTTTAATGGCTTTAATAACCATTTAGGATTTAATCAGACAACAAAAAGATTAGTTTAAACCAGGCATGGGGAACCTGCGGCCTTTTAACTGTTTTTTAGTGGCCTTTGTCCTTAAAAAAATTTATTTCTTATATTTCTTAAAAATTAAAATTTTGCTGCCAAATTTTCGAAAACAAATCAAACATTTAGAAAAATAAACCGTGCACATAAACTTTCAAATTTGAAAACTAAAAATTGGAAAATTCAAAGCCATGAAATTTCTAACAACGTTTGAATTCAAAATTTACATACATATTTGTTTGAAAACAAACCCATATTAATATTTGAATCCTATGTCCGGGCTTCTTTCAGAATAATTGTATGCCATGCTAGTAAACTTTTTCAATAATTTTAAAAAAAATGCTTTCACACATTTGTTTGAGTTCAAAATTTATTTATTGTTTGAAAACAAACACATATTGATATTTGAATCCTATCAAAATCAAAAATTTAAAAGAAGCTCAAACTTAAAATTATTATAAAAAACAAAAAACAAAAAAAAAATTATTCTCATTTTTTAAATTGTTTTATGTTATTTTTTATATTCTGACATAATTTTGTTTTCATCAACCTACACAAAGCAAAAATTTATAACCTTTGGACTTTTTTTAAACTTTGCGGCCTGATTGACTTTGCATTGACTAAAATTTGGCCTTATATAGAGAAAAGGTTCCCCATCCCTGGTTTAAACAATTCAAATGAAAGAAATTTTTAAACAATATCTTACTTGTATAACATTTAAACATAAGCATAAAATTGTTTTTCTACAGAATAACCCACAAATTAAAACGTTAATCTCCAGTTCAATAAAATTGCTGTATATGTGTATAAATATGCCAACGTCTCCAACATTAATTTTTTCCTTTCTTTTAAACATACTGTTACAAACATATTACGCGTATCAGTATAAATACAACATTAAAGCTCGTTTTATATACATACATATATACATATTTATTTATTCACTTGTTTCTTCAATGTATTATAAACATTTTTTATGCCATATAAGAATATGAAATACAATAAATATATTTTAATATTTCTAGGGTTTTCTATGAGAACATGATATCTAGAATTTTGACAAAAAAAAGTTCTGAATGCAAAATTACTTAAAATTTTAAGCGTTTTCTAATGTAAGAGAAAACATTTAATTTTTTCAGTAGTTTTAAAAAGAAATCCTTAAAGAACATTATAACTAACCAATTGTTCCGCAAATTTTTCTGACAAAATTAAATATCAACAATTATTCACTTCTCGCGATCAAAAAATTTTCTAAGAAGGCATTCAAATATAGATATTTCATGTTAGACACTTCAAGTTGAAAATGAAATATCTGCACATATTTATTTCTACATTTCATATTTAAATGTTCATATTGGTTACTTTCACATAAGTGAAACACACTTAAAATTTAAAACTAGATAAGTGAACAGTCCTGATTGATACTAATTGCAATTGAAAAAAGTGTTTATCTTATTTGAAAATTTTAACATATTTGAAAAATATGTTAAAATTTCAATACTATGTAATATTTAGTAGCAAAATTTTAAAATACTAACTTTTTAAACCATCTTCACTATATTTTCATTAGTTGATGTTTTAGTAAAACAAAAACAATACAAAAATATTTTCAATGGTGTTTTACCCGAAATGGCAAAAATAAAGATATCATGTTCTGATAGAAAACCTTAGATTTAGTTTGGTAGCTTTAGATAGAGATGGATTTATAGTTGTTTATGCTCATATAGATGTAACCAACACATATTTAAAGATTATCTGTCATTCTTAGTTGTCATTTCTTCAGTAAAAAAATCCATTGAAATAACATGTACTATAGTTTTTCTTGTATTTTTTTTTTTTGTAAAGAGACACAGAATGACAAAAAATATTGTGAAGAAATAAATTTCCATTACTAGATAGTTTTATAAAAATCGTTAAAGTGAAACTTTCTTAACAGATAAATATATGTATATTGGATATTTTCTAAACTAATTAATAACAGAAAAACGCAATTTTTAATTGCAAGGTTTTAGTTTTTGAGTTCTTTTAAATGTGCAACAAAATAAAAACGTAAGTAAAAAATGGGAAACTTCATTAAATATTTTTCGGAAACATTCTAATAAATCTTTGTTCTTATCGCACAATTATTTGTAAAAAAAATTATTTAACAACAATATGATATTTTTCTATTGGAAGCGATATAGCTGTTAGTGTACACATACATATCTATATTGTATATGTAAATATATATCAGCAAAGAATAAAACTTCATTACTGAAGTGACTAATTAATGAAAAAAAGTATATTTATGTGAGTTTTTTTTTTCTAATTTTTTGTCAAAATTTTTAGTTTTCTTGATGACAAAATTGTGCTGCAAATATTATTGAAACAAGTATCTACTTATGTATGTATGTACGTGCATTAACAAGTATTTCAATTTCAACAAAATATTGATTAGTTTCCAATTAGATTGCAAAAACGTCTTATACTAATAATTAAAGTAGAATAAAATTATTGCTCGCATAAAGTGTAGGTTGGAAGATATTAAAGTTTATCTTGATATACATTTGTTTATTTTCTATAAAGTATTTAATAAGACGTCTTTATAATTACCCACTTTTTATTAATTATAAAATATTGCCAACTAGTTTTACTTTGAAAATGACGTACCTACTTATTCTCAACATACTTAATCATCACCACCTACATATAAGTTGAATAAAGTTTCAGAGTTTTTAAATAAATTTATCGATAAACAAACATGTAATTGAAAATGATACGTGTACAAACAAACCTATTCTTATTTTGAAACTAATTTTAAATATAAATATGTATAAAATTCATATTAATAAATAAATTACTAGGTTACACGATTATACTTGAAGTTGTTGTCTAGATTTGCAAATTTCATACAATGTAATTAATTAACCTTGAACTTTTTTGTAATGAAATATTTTGGTTAGAAATAATTATGATATCAAGAATCTGTTTTGTTTTCTGCTCCTTTTCCATTTTGATTTTAACTACCTATGTAAATGAAATTTTCTATGTAGAGAAATGTTTATAGCCTTGTGTATGATTGTTTTAGCATAGAGGGAATATTTTATATATACTAGAAGATTAAATAAAAACATATTATCGTTTTTTGTAAAAATTATAAACTTTTTATGACATGAAATATTTATTTTAATAGGAGATTTAATATCTCTCCCTTGTATAATGCTAAAACTATAGTTAAAATTAATTTTTCGAGGCATTTATAATAACTTAAAATTTTTATTTTTCATTTAAGTGATATTTCAATCCTGCGATTTTGAATATCTTTCGAAGCGGGGTAGTAATACAGTCAGAGATACACGTAAAGATTCTATATTATTAAAATTTGATCCACTGTTGGGAAAACCAGTACCAGCCCCAACAAACTTATTTAATCGTTCTACCATACATGAGGAAGAGGATACAATTTCACCAGAAACATCAATAGGCAACAGAATAAGAAACAGAGAAAAAGAATTTCAAATTGAAAGTAATAATATATTAATAAATGTGCCAACAACGAACGTAGAAAGTCAAAGTAAAAAACAAAAATCTCCAATCAAATTATCAATTAATAAAAAAGATATAACAAGATCGTCTAATACATTTGATTCACCTTTATTAGAAGAATTTGAAAATTTAGAAAGAAGATTAGAACTTGAAGAAAGGGTAATTAGTATAATTAACAAATACACTTTTCAAATATATTAGAATATTCAAAAGCAAATTTACTTTTGATCCGTTTTCAATTAAAATCATATGTTTGTTTCACTCCAGTTCAAGTGACTGGCTGTTTTGTAGATTTATAAATTGAACACATTTAGAAAACATATAAAATCAATTTTAGTCATTGCTGTTCAATATTACCTATTTAAGAAATTAGAAACTTCAACATACACAGTGGTTGATAATGAGAATATAATCTTACAGAAAATTAAAAATGATTTTCAATGTAATTTTCTTTCTTACCTTAGTCATTTTTATAAAATTTTGCATAAAAAAAGGAGTTTATATTGTCAAACGAAAATTAAACTTTCTTTGTTATAATACAACTAAAAATAAGAAACAAGATATTCCCCAAGTGAATTGCATTTCTGCAAAAGGATCCTCGATTGCATATAAAAGAACTAGCTTTAAATTTTGAATCAATAATTTTGATTACAACTTATATTTATCACCTTCAAGGCTTTTGTTTAACGCAGACGATATTGTTTCAATTATGTTAAAATTTTATTGTTTATTATAAATTAAACATAATGCTTATACATATATAAGTCAATATTTATAGTTTATATTCACTTGTATTGCATGTATTGTACACATTGTGATGTCGAACCTATGTAAAATATATAAAGAATTCGAACTTATCATGATAAATATCAGTTTCAAACATTATTCTATTTATTTTATCAGGAGGCTGTCGTTAATAAAATGAGTGTTGATGTTATTTCAAATAACCTAAAAATTGAAAATGATGTTCAACCAAATGAAAATATAAATAGGTAAGTAATTTCTTTGATAAAGATACCTAAGAAAAGCAAATTAAAAATTTTAAAATTACATTTTAGTGAAATAAATTCAATTGAAAAACAAGATCTAAAGATGGAGGACTTAGAAAAGAAGATAAAAAACGAAGTGTAAGTCTCAATAAACATACATTATGAACATTCTTAAGAAAATAGAAAAATTTTCAATTTTCTTTTCAAGTTAAAAAACTTTGAAGAATGTTTTGTGCTCATAACTGAAGCACGGACATGTAGCAATTGTGCTTATAAATATGTAACCAACTCTAAACATTTTTAACATTGATTAAATATCAATTTAAACTTTTGAAATCACACTTTTGAATTAATATTTTTCAAAAACTCTATTATAAATAACTTTATTTGTAAGATGAACCATAGAAAAATGATTTCTTGTGAGATAGCGTAGTTAATTATTTTAATTCTTATGTTAATTAATATTAAGAATAAATTCTTTTAAGTTTTTAATAAAACTTAATCAAAAGTGAACTTTATGATATGTTTTACGATTTTAAGTATTTTATGATATATTTTACGATTTTATGTATTCGCTTATCTCCTATTCACCCTACATGTTAATAAGTGCTAGGAATAACATATTATTCTCGAATAGGGTTTTTTTTTAAATCAAAGGATTAATCTTCCTAAAATTTATAGTTAAACACTATGCATATCATGTTGTTCGTTGTTGTATGAATAGGGTATAAAACATGTTTTCCTATTGTGAATAATTTATTTTTGGAGTTTTTTCCTCAAATCAAAGGAAATTTTGAAGGAATACAAAAATTTTTTTAAACTACATATGTATGTATGTATATAATTTTTAGTAAATTGAAATCCAAAAATATTTCAAAATACAGAAATGACACAAATACAAAATACAAAGATATTTTTTCAAAATTTTTAAATAAGCAAAATGTCAAAAGTAAGCAGCTTATGTAGTGTGAAATCAATTTTCTACAACATGTTAATCGATCAGTATGATATATTATTCTCCTGTATTTTGAATAGGGCATTACTAATAAAAAATTTCTAAAAGTACCAGGAAAAAAAGCTTTTGATAATTCTAAACAAGTTATTTCCTTTCTTATTGTGTTTGGGACAGTTGTAACATGGATACTTATTGCATTATTTTTTTAATGGTTGCAGGTTAAAAACGGAAGACGTGGAAAAAAAATTAAAAGATGCTGAACAACGTGAAGAAGCTTTGCTTAAACGGATAACTGATAAAGATAAAACGATCGCTAAAATGGGGTACAGGAATATAACTAAATAAACTAACAAAAATAAAAATTTTGTTTTATATCATTTAGTGGTGTAATTGAGGCTTATGAAAAAGCAATTGCTGAATTAATAGCTGAAAAAGAACAAATTACACAGAATTATGAAAAGCAAATGGAAGAAATCAAAGCGGAAAGAGATTTAAACAAACAACATTTAGAATCATTGGAATCTACTTTTACAGACTTACATGTGTAAGCATATAGTGTCTACTAAAAGATTTTGGCTAGTTTATTTATTAATCTTGTAGAAAATATGAAAGAAGTAAACAATTGTTGGCCAAGTTGAAAGCAAGCGAAGAAGAATTGCAGGCTGAAAAGAAAAGGAATTTAGAAAACTTAGGATTGCAAGAACAACGATATGAAAAAATGAAAAATCATGCCATGCAGCAATTAGAAATGTAAATGATTTAAAAATTATTTTTCATATTTATTAAGTTATTATATCTCTTCTAGTCTTTGTTAAGTTTATTTCAGATTTGCATCCTGCATAATTAAACAATCTTTAGTCAAAAATTTGTTTCCACACAATTAGTTTCAAAATATAAAATTTTAAATAACATTAATTTTTTCCTCATATTAAACTTTAGGGCTTAATTCACTAGAAAAAGAATTTTGTGATAAATTTTTCGCTTGAAACTACGTAAATTTGATTTGAAAAAACGATCTTTAAAATGAAATAGAGAATTCCATTTTGTTACAATTTGTTTTCTTACCAGGTTTTAAGCAATACAATGCAATTCAAAAGTGGAAGAAATCTCAATAATGAGTTTTTTTTTTTTTTTTTTTCAAATATTTTCCCAATTTTTATGATTTTTCATCACAATTTAGAACCACATACAATTCAATTATAGAATACTTACAAACTAACCACCTTCCATTAAAATATGATTAGGGTAATAAATACAGTAGTAAATGTTTATGTAACATTGCATATGATAAAGAAAATTTATTTGAGAAATTTACAAAAAATAATTAATGTTAAAACATACCTATTTTGTAGTGCCAACAATAAATTAGAGCATTTAACAAAAAATCATCAACTTGAAATTACAAAACTTAAAGCGTTATTGAAAAAGGAGGAAATAGCAAAATCATCTGTTAATGAGCAATTAATACAAAAGTCAAAAGAAAATGAAGAACTTGTGAAAATATGTGAAGAATTGATCAACGGTGGTTCAGCAAGTTAAAAAACATAATATTTTATATTAATTTCATTTTTTAAATTATTACATACTTTAATTTAACATAACAAGTAAAATTAATAAAAAGAAAAAAACGGATTTGATAAATTTTGTAAAAATGATTATCAATAATTGTTTTTGTTTTTATTTAATAACTCTATAGTTATAGAACCGCTTCTATACAAATATTAATTAATTTACAATTGTTATATTGGTTTGTCACTTTAAAAAACAAAGGAAAAAAATTACAAAAACTAATATTAATTACATTCACTAATTTTAAATTACATTCAAAAGAGAAATAATAAATTTTATTTTTTCATTAAAATCCATAAATTTACATTTAAAGTAAGTAAAGAAAATAATATATAAGGACATAAAATATAATAAAATAATCATTAAAAAAAAAGCCATTTTTAAATACAGGCTTAGTAATAATTTGTAAAAAAATACACATATACATACATATATATAAATTTAAATAGGGAATACATATAAAAAAAATAGCTAAAAAAATACAAAAAATTAAATGAATTAATTAAAATTCTTAGGAAACAGAATGAAAAAAAGTAATTTATACTTGAAATGTCTGTTTTTTTATATTTATGTCAGTTATTTGATTTTAAGAAAGTTTTTGAACTTTTTTTATTCATAAAAATAATTTATATAAAACGTTTTATGATCCTGCCTTGTAACAGTTTTTTTAGACTATTTTCAATTATGTTTTGTTAATTTTTTTCTAATGTTAGTTTAAATTTAAGAACTCTCACATTAAAGTTATATTATAAAAATGCACCTACATTCTCTTATGATAACACCCCATCACTTCAACTGATGCATCTAAGCGAATATGGGTGAACAAAATGCTTAAAAAATTCACACAGAAGTAATCCATTATAAATAATGTTTTAAATTTTAAATAAAAAACTTCGAAGAGAAAATTTATAGACTACATTTAATAGGCAAAATGAAGCAAAGTAGTCAAAGAACATTCAATATATTTTAAGTTTGAACACAAAAATTAAAAGAATGATTTATAAAATATTATAGCTATTTAAAGTAACAAAAATTGTTCCAAAAATATAAAAATTTAGTATTAAAAAATTTTGCAACCATAATATATTCTTTCAGTTAATTTTTATTGAAATCTTTAAGGAAAATAAAAATTAGTTTAATTAAAGATTTTTCTGAATTAAATTATTAAGATTAAAAGGTAAAAAATATATTTTATGCTTCTTCAGCTGTATACACACTCTGATTATTATTATTACTAACAATTAGTTATTAATATTATACAACTTAAATATAGATAATTATGAAAATAATTAAAAAAGAAAAAATGAATTATATTTATAAAAAAAATTATTAACTTAACAAAATAATTCTTTTATTCCATTAAAATAATATAAATAGATATGCGTAAATCTTTTTACATTGAATAATTTCTTGTACAAACTCAATTTTCTTTTTTTTTATCATTTTTGTAAACCATTTAATGAAGCACAATTAGTTTCAAATATCCTACTCAAATACTTAATGAAATAAGTATTGTAAACCGATGCGACTTAATACGTTAAATACATTAAAAATGTATGTATTTCGAAATACATATGTTGCATGCTGATAAGGCCATATTAAAATTGCTTCGAGTCAAAAGTTCCCAAAAAATTTTCAAATCCAACTCCTTTGACAATTCCAGGAGTATAAAAGTTTCCACCTTTTGCCACTATTCGATTTTTGATGGTTAGACTTTTAATAAAATAAAAGTGCTGAAGCAGACGTACTTACGGAATTTCACTATATAAATAAAAATTCAAAATTATTATTTTTATTATGTATATGTATAAAATTCTAGATGTTCGGAACATACTCTGAGTTCGAAAAGGCAGTGCTACGGAATACAAAATATTATTGAGTCTTGTGATTGTAATTTTTAAATTGTGTAACAATGAATTTTTTCGATTAATATAAACTGCAAAATAACGTGATAAGAATTCTAAAGTAATTTTAAGTTTTTTATAACTACTATAAAAATATGAATTAGAAGTGCAGTTTCTGCGGATTTATAAGCATGTACGTATGAAAATATTTAAAGCTTAAGATTTAATCAAAACTTTCAGTGCAGGTTTTAGTTTTCGAAAAACCGAACACCATCTATTATTGCAATTGGGAAGTCAATGACAACCCTCCAGACACTCCAAAAAATAAAGTGATTTATGTATGTGTACATAATTACATATACATACATCATTTTATTCAATGGAGAAGTAATTGCTCTGTAAAATTTACATTTGCTTTGTGTCGCAAGGTGTTTGCCTTATATACTACGAATTTTTGTTTGGCTCATTAGGACAGGTATTTGTTTGAACTACGTGAAGATACAATTTAATATTAAGACCTTTTGAATGTTGAAGATAGTAAATATTTCCTGCGTTTTTAATATTTCAGTTCTAACTTAGTTTCTAATGTGTCCTGTTTCACAATAAAGTATTGCACGTGCTGTTAAAATAATGTGTTTGATAACGCGGCTTATTTTTTCAACTTATTTCATAACTACAATGCCAAGATTATTAAGATACACATACACGCAATACTTTCAGTTTTTATTTTACAGTTTGTTTTGTAGTTAAAATCAATATCTGATTTAAATGATTTATTAGAACAATTTTCTTTTAAATTTTGTTATTACTTTAATAAAATATTTAAATTTATATTTCAGTTAACTGGAAATAATAAAATATCGCAGCTGCGTCTTTCTATTGTCTAAACTATTTAAGTTCTAATTTCGAAAACATGTTGCATTATAAAAACATCCTTCTTTAAAATTTTTATGAAGAAACATTTTTTGGACTTTATTTGTACAGATATCTAATTTCTAATTATCAATATCTGCTAAGGGCGGAATGAAAAACTGTATATAAATTTGAGCAATTTCATCTTGTTGTATCATAAACTGCATTTCTAACATACCAGTATCGTCAGTTTTTAATGCGACCTGACCAGATGCTAACAAAGATTTCATAAACATCTTTATATGAGAATACTTATAACAGTTATCGATTGATTTTTTACATAAAAATTGTAATATGATGTCACTATTACGAGCAATCTCAAAACATGATTCAGATTGCATTACACCAAATGTCTCAATTTTGAAATGAGGTTCTTTGTCAGATATAAATATCTGTAACTTTTCTGCACTTTTATCAATATCATTTATAAAACTCGCAAAATCTGGTCCCCTTAATAATATACAATTATATGTTGAACTATCCTCATTTAAAGCATACCCAATCGGCTCTTCATATGTTTTTGTTTTGATAGAACATTCTGTTAACCAATCCTCATCCCCGTGATGTTCGAAAACTAATATCATTGGTGTTGCTTCACCTTTGTACACCATTTTCATACTACAATCTACTGTCGAGAAAATGCTTAGACATTCTGTTATAATATTTAAATTAATTTTTAATCGAATAACAGTATTTGTTGGTAGTAAATATTGTGAAAAACACTCTTTAGTAATATAAACATTAGCTTGAATTAAATTTGAATTTTCAACAATAACACGCAAACCTTCTCTTGTAAATTGAAATAAAGCATCCTGAAATATATAAAGATATATATAATATAAAAATAAAATTTAGAAACATTTTCTTATATTACGTAGATTTTTACCTCAGTAAAATTAATTGATTTTAAAGCTGTAAACAAGCCTCTGATACTATCCAATTTTCCAACAAATTCTAATTGTGAAATTTGAGACTGCGTCAACATTTTTAAATCCTTCAACAATCCTTTCCTATATAAAATTTTGGAATGTTGCATCAACCACTTCTTCTAATAATCTTTAACTTGTAATAACATGTAATTAAATTGTTCTTTGTTTAAGGTGATTACCCTATATTTTCCCAAGATTTTTGCTAATTTTAAAGCAAGTACATGCTTACAAGTGAAACTTGATCTATTATCTGCTAACACTTGATATTCAAATGCTGGACAACGGCAAAAATTTATTTCTGGGAATAGAAGATAAGTCACACTCTTTTGATTTCCTTGAATTTCACAAAGTTCTGCTGCTTTTGAAGTTTTTAAAATATTGGGTAATTGGTAAAGAGTTATGGTTCTTGTATCCAGTATATGAAAAGCACTCTCTAAAAGATTTTCTCCAAAGACTGCTGTTAATTCTAATAAATTTTGCGAGCTGAAAACTAAATATTTTACATTAATAAAAGGCATGCAGTTCTTTGAATTTAACCTACACTTATTTGGACAAGTTTTATTTGATGATTCAAATTCTTCCTCAATTTTTAAAAGCGCCTTATCAAGTAAATTTGAAAATCCTATATTTTCTGTTGCAGACATTAAATTAAAATATGTATGTTGAAATAATTAAAGTAAAAAATACTTCTTTGGCCGATTATCGTGAAAAGTTGTTTACATTCAATGATTTTTACCGGTTCTGTCATATGAGTCATTTGTCAAGCATACAAATATTTTTAATTAACTTGTCATTTCTTAAACACAATTTACATACATTTTTTGACAACAAAACGTATTACAAACCAAAAATGTTTTTCGCCCAAAAATTAAAAAGAGCTGAATTCCCACGTTTAGAATCTGTCGAATACTTTATTGCCATAAGAAATTTTTTCGCTAAAACTTAAATGTAGTATGTAGAATAATTTCAAAATTTCGGTTATTTTACCAAAATACAATAGAATATAATTTACTTAAATTTCTTTAATACTTTAAAATAATTAAAGAACTAATTAAAATAATTAAATATTGACATTTTTTCTATAAAATTAATTTGATATTTGAACTTTCTGTTCAAATAAACTTTATTTTAAAATTTTTTATTTTATTTGGAAAAAAAATGATTAATTTGCCGCCTTTTTAAAATGTGTATATGTATAATTTGAAAGAGAAAGATGAATAAATAATTATTTTGAATGTAATAATGCATAAGGCATTTGATTTTCGTAATACAAATGAATATCGGTGTGCAAATGTTGCGGTTCTTTTGGAAAATGAAAAAAATATGAAAATAAAGAGCATTAAGACCTTGACACTTGACATTACAAAAGGCCTGGACCTAGATCCTGCTATTTTTGTAAATGTTTCTTCAGAAATGACATTTCTGAAGAATTTTTTTTTTGTTTTTTTGGAAAAATTATGTATGTTTTTGGCCTATTTTAATTTCTAGTTTCTGTACGAAAAATTGACTAAAACCTAAAAGTTTTTATACAGAAATGAAATTTGGACTTTTCTGAATAACATATCAAAAACTCAAATTTCTGCTCAAAATTTTAACTATAATTTTGATGAAATATATTTTCGATTTTTGTCTGCAATTTTTTCTACCGCTATGTCAGGCAACATATCTGAGAGAATTGAGAGTAAAAAAATGATAATATACTGAATAAAAAAAAATTTAGTGCTACATATATTCTTTTAGGCTGGAATACACGATTGAAATATAGTTAATAAAATTTAATTAGATTTCAATTTAGAATTTAAACCAAAGATTGTAAATTTCTAAGGGAACCGAGTGGAGAAGGAGTATCCCCCGGGTCACCGCAGGCATTCGTGACTCATTATAGCCTCCTCACACCTCCACCTACAATATCCCGTTCCAAGTAGTAAACCGGATACATCCATAAGGAAGTTGCACGCTTAGCTCACGAATGCTTAGGAAACCTTGTCATAAACAATTGCACCGCCGGACAGCCAGTACCGGGCAGTCGCAAATAATGTGCACGGCAGTGTCATCACTGTCCCCGCGAAATCTGCACTGGGCAGAGCCCGATTTTCCAGCCTATGCAAGTGATATCTTACCGGGCAATGGCCCGTGAAAGACTTTGCGAGTCCGGCTCTTGTCCATCCCCAACAGCTCCGAGGAGAACCCCGGGAATGTTGGAAGAAACATCTTCGCCTGACGGCACCCTTTCGTGTTCCATCGCAGAAGACCGCGTACAGGTAGCGGCTGCACAAAATCAGTCCCAGATCCCCCCGGCGCCAGCTCGTCGGCAACTTCGTTGCGCCATTGTTACTCTGTTTACCGATGTCAATTCCACAAGTGCAGTAAGGCAGCTGCAGATCAGTATACTTCCACTAGACCCTGCAAAGCTAGCGTAGTAGACTTTCCTGATTAATAGGCATACCACGACTCATGCAAGGGATTGGTGCCCAGTGCGTCGTCCCTTATAAACCTATCAAAGACCTTTTCCATTGCTGAAAAGATCTTGCGTGGTTTCTTGGCCGCTTACCTCCCTTCGGAATATACGTCAGCTTGGCCACCCTCCATGCTTGTGTGATGTAACCCTACGCATAGCTGGCACAAAAAAATTCCAACAATGTTCCAGCGATATATCGGAAACCTCTCTGCAAAAACACAAGATATATCCCGTCATCACCTGCAGATTTTAAGGGCTTGAAAGTAAACACAGCCCACCTAATGCCACCCATTGTAAAGATCGTACGGGACCGTTGCCAGTTATCTCTCCTGGGCCAAGATGAGTGATTCTTTCCGCTTCATGAGCTTTTTTTCGCTTTCCTTATTTCCCTATTGTATATCGTTAGTGAGCTTTTGTACTCCTCCCATGAACCCGACGCCTGGCCCTTATTGAAGAACTTTTTGGTCCTTTGTCTAAGTCTTGAAAGCTCTTCATTCCTTTACCGGCACCTTCTATTACTTCGCTCGGTTTGGCGCGGCAGCTCCCATGATAGGCACCAGTAATAACCGTCGCCAGGGCCTTGTTCGCCAGTTCGATATCCACCGTTGCACTGACAGAAGCAGGAACGGAGCCAACCCCCTCCATGAGGAGCGTTTCAAAATGACTCGAATCCGTGTACTCAAGCACCCGATACATTTCTTCTGCCAGCCCCCCCCCCCCATCCTTCACAATGTAAAGCTCTTGGATTAGGGCGATGTCAAGGTCATCCTTCACAAATCTATGAGCCAGAACGTCCGCAGATGCCCTACCATGCTGTAGATTTGTTTGCATATACCTAACAGCCATATCATTTCTTTCGGCTCTTGTCTATGGGCTTTAGCTTTTAGACAAAGGCCCTATATGGGACCCTTTTCCGCTTTTGACTTGCGTATCTGTGAGTTTTTCCTTTTCCGGCCCGCCCCCATTTTTTGCCGTCGCAGTCTCGGCACTCTTTGTTCCAGCTGCATCCTTTAAAGCCGTTTCATTCAGGCGTTGGGCTTGTCGGCTCTTTAGAGCCTGCTCTGATGCCAGCATACTGAAGTGACTTTCTGCCTTTCACCCTGACGGTTATTCGAGAGAAATTAAGAAAACATTGAACTTCGCTTTCCGTAGATTCGCCAATCCATACGGAGCACCCTCCAAGAGCTCATCTTCAGGCTGCGATTTTGTTTCACTATCCTATCGATGAACTTCTTCCTGGAGAGACCAATGGTTGTTTCATCTTTAGGACATCCAACGTAGGACAGCTATGTTACAGCCGTCCCAAGGTTTAATCCTGTTGCAGACACTGGTAATACAATCCTTCGTGTCCCTGTTGTTGCATGTGACGGATATCCATCTGTCCTTTTGCGACGACTCAGTAAATTGGAAATGCATGTCGGAGACCTTGTCCATTTCGTTCACGGTGTTTATTTTTATTTTCTCGATCTGAACGTCGGATAGCCTCTCATTGGGGTGCCAACCGTGAGCCATAGCTACTTTGATCTGCACCACTGCACCCCGGTGAGAGGTTTTTTTCGGGCTTTGTTGAGAAATGTTTCTAGGTGCCTTTTATCATCATTGCCCTTCATCAACCTCTTCTTTGAACGTCCTGCGTCAGGAGTGTTACTCTCTGAATTTACCCTCTTCTGGCTATGGTTGGTTGTAACAACCGTTTCACAGACCCTCAGCTTTTCCAGCCTTTTCCTTTCGTATTCGCGGGGTTCTTATAGGGACATACCATCCCTGATGTTTGCCGCGATACGTCTTTCGGAGGCACCGAGAAATGATGACTTTCCCCTGATCTCCAACCTCTTCATTTCCTCTTCGCCTTCTTCGATAAGAGGTCCCATAAGATCCTGCTTATCCGTTTCTCTAGCTACTGCTGCATCCTTCACCGACGTGAGAAGAAGCTCTTTCTCTGCGTCGGTCGAAATGAGCTCTGGTTCCGCGGACCCTGAAGCACCGATCATGGTATTACCGGTCACTTTATTGTTATCCTTGTTGTCCTTGGTGTCTTTGTTGTCTTTATTGCCCTTTTAGCCGTTTTTATCGTTGTTATTCTTATTATCGTTGTTGTTTTTGTACCGACTCCGGATCTGTTAATAGAACAAAAAGACACACCCCAAACACCATACTACTACATTATTTTTAATCAAAGGTTGTTATACTTAACACTATGGTAATACTGTAAGCCGAAATGAAAAATAATAAATGAAAAAAAAAATGTCCCGGGTAAGTTGAGCTACAGTAGTATCGCTTCGATTAGTGGCACGGAGTCTGTCACGTTGCTCAGCAAGCCTAGTGGCCTCGGGCGGAAAATTGGGAATGGCCTTTTTGATTCTTTCCATAGGGATGAATCTTTTTGTTTTGTTGAAACACTTTCTCACCTGCAAATGCCGATGGAGGCGGAGAAAGTACACTGATAGCTCCATCCGTTACTGTTTTCAGGTGGGATGTTAACATTTGTGAGCGTTAGCTCGCAGCCTCTAGTTTTACAGCGATGCTCAATGCCTCCAGATGAGGATCTGGAGTGGGAACTTTTGTTACATATCTGAATTTTACGTCACCGTGGATGATGCAAACCAATCCCTAAAAGAGTTATTGGTGTTACGGGAACACGAGAGTTGTCTGAGAAGAGGGTTTGCTCTCTGGAAGCAGCAGCCATCCGTGAACGTGTTGTTGTAATCTACGGTCACCCATGACTAATAATTCGCATATTAACAACGAAGCTCGACAGCTAAGCGAGACATGACAACGACGCGAATGTAACTTTGCTCATTTTAATCACCTATCTATCTTGCGCCATTACTAGGACCCACCGCTTGGAGGTGACAGTGCGATTTTGAGCCCCAAATTTAGAATTTAAGTTTGTAATTATTTGATTTTAAGTTTTATAACTATGATAGTGACTTTAAAATTTTATAATCATTATAAAAAATGCATAGTTTCCAGTTGTCGCCTGTATAAAAACAAACATAATAAAAATATCATAAAGAAACTTTTATAAATTTTAAAAATCCTGATGCGGTCGTTTAAGGAAATGAGTGAATTAGACTTACTTGCAATATAAAAATATTTCTTAATATAATTAAAATAACATGCATACCTAAAAAGAATTATATGGATATTTATATTTCTAATAACATCATGTCTAGAGCCTCAATTCACATGTTTGGCATTAAAGTCACCTTCCAGTAAGAATCTATTTTCGTCAGCATATAGGAGATCGTTAAAAATATCCTCGATTAGTAGCAGATTGAGTTAATTGTTTATATTAATTTGCACATTCAACATATATTTTTAGTTGATCATTGTTCATGATGTTTACCTTATTACCAAAGATTATGCCGACTGGGGTAGATCTTGCAAAGTCGGCATAGACTTTGGAGACACTTTGGTAGATATCCTTACCGTATTTATGTTCTTAATATTGGACAGTTCATATTTAGTTATGAGGCATATATGGCTATGTCAGGTTTCAGGTTTACAGTTTTAAAGGGTTGTATAATTTTTTAAAGAATACGTTTTAAAAAAATACCAAAAGTAAATAAAATGAATGAAATTAAATTTGAAAATCTTATTTAATCAGATTTATTGGTAATGGCCAAAAAATTTAATAAATATTTTCAGGAAAGCATAACTCAAATTAGTAGAAGCATTCAAAATATAGCATTTGTCAACAGAGTTGCACCTGTTTAAATATAATTTAAATTCAGGCAAATAAATAAAAACGAACTAAAACAAATTCTAAAATCTATAAAAAAACAGATATAAATTAGGTCTGCCTGGTATAAGTACATTTTTAAACACATTCAAAAACTTCATAAAGTTTTTGGATACAAAACGTCTGGGATATTACTTTTGGAACAAAAATGAGAGAAAATGATGACATTCTCATTATTTCAATGTTTAAAGTTTTTTCAAGTTTTGTAAAGTAAAATTGAGTGTTTTGAAAACTTAAAAAAATTTTTCGTCAACAAAAACTTTTTTTTTCAAAACTTTTCAATTTAAAATAAAATAACCAAAATGGGTTCACAAATAGTTTTTTAAAAGCTTCAAACTTTTATAATCAAAATTTTCGGTTTTTGGTATAACGAAAAAAATAATTGCTTATCTTTGATAAAAACTTTGAAATTTGACGTTTATCACATATTTATGAAGTTTTCCGTCTTAAATAATAATTTTCTTATTTCTTTTTTAAATAATAATTTTTTCCTTTTTGCGAGAAAATTCGTCATTGCTTCTCTTTTTAAAGTTTTTTCAAGTTTTATCCCAGACAGATCTATTACGTGAATGTTCAAGTTATTTTAGATTGTTGTAGTAACATTGATGATACTGTTACCGGATTGCTAAACGAATCGAAATATTGTGGCAGTTAAAAAAATAAAAAATTCCATTGAATGCTGTGATTTTTGATCAGTGAACATGATAATAACAGAGGTTAAAATATTAGAAAAGGTTATTTATAACCAGTTCTTTGAGCTTTTAGATAAAAATGATTTGATTTCTAAGTACCAAACCGTGTTTCGGAAGCAGCATAGTTGCAAAAGACTTTTGAAATTAGTTATTGCTACGAGTAATTGGAGAGTGGAATTAAAATAGTATGATTTTAAATTATTTAAAAGGAAAATAATTGAATATGTAAAAATTAATTTTGAGTAGTACTCGTAGTATCTGATTTATTTTTACTTTATTTAATTTAACTATAGAAAATACATTTTTTTAAAATTTTTATAGATACACACTACACTTCTATTTGTTGTCAATTAGTATTAAACCAAATAAATAAAAAATAAATAATAAAATAATATAACGGATTGTCAAAACTAACTTTTGAAAACATTCGTTAAAATAAAAAAATTGCTGCAGCAAAATAGTACTAATTTTTTTTTACGGACGAAGAACTACAAATTAAAACACACTTCTTTAGGCATTAAAGTAACAAAAAGTGATTTGATATAAAATTGTACTACAAATACCGGACTTTCGATAATATTGATAATAATTAATTAAACATTGTTTCTTGGCGGTTTGTTTCCCTTTCAATCGCATAATAGCTTGTTATATCACCAAGCTATCATTCGATTGAAACTATTCGATTGAACTTCGATTGAACTACTAAGCTATAAGAATAATAGCTTGGTATATAGCATTTCACGTATTATAATTTAAAATTTACTGACAGTTTATCAGCTTAAAATATATTTTTTAATTTTCGTATAGTATATTGAATTTTTTCATTTTTTTTATATTGAAAAGTTATTATTTCATATTAAAATCTTTAAATATCAAACGAAAATTGGATTAACTAAAAACAAAACGGGTTTTTTTCGAATATTTACATATGTATGCATGCATATGTACATTAAAAACAATTCTATTTTTTAAACAGTGCGACGAGACAAATATGAAGCGGTGTTCAAACAAGAGGAAAACGACCAGTGTGGTACGCATTCCAAGGTACGTATAAAAGCTGCCATTGTTTATTTTTGGTGTCAAAGCAAAGTAATGGCCAAAGAGGACAGTAAAGTAAAAATAAAATTGCTCTGCAGTGACTTCTGGATAAATTGTGAAAGCTACATTTTATATTGAAAATTCACAATGAGAATTTTCATTCATACATTGTTGAGCATGCCAAAAAGTGTTTTTTGCTAAATTTATAACTAAAATTAAGATTTAAATTTGAATTTTTGATATAGAAATGTTAAAAAATTATTTTCTATTCAAAATGGATGTGGATTTGAATCAACTTTTAGATTGAAAGTAAATAAAATAAGTAAAAATTTGCCACTTAAAAAAAACAATAGCATTCGGCCCCACAATACCTAATATTTAAGCAACTTAAAGAGATTAATGTGACCATGGCTGAAGAACTAAAAAGCTTTTTTTATGATGTAAAAATTTTATGCTAGTGCATGAAATTTTAAAAGTAATGATTTTGGAGATGATCTACCAGTTTCAGAAGCTTTACTAAAATTTGTTCTTCAAAAAGGTTTCAAGTAATAGTTTTGGTTCATATCAGAATGGAATCTATACTTTATATCCCTTACAGATAAAGTGCAAGGTCAAAAATTTTACATTTCATACAATCTAATGCTAGTGCGATTTCATTAATCTATTAACCCAATTTTCAGCAATTTTTTATTATTAAAATAAAATTATAAACTAAATCTTCTGTATTCTTTCAGCGACGTGCATACGTAAAAATTTTAAGGTTTTTTATAATTTTTAAGAATTTTAAGGTCGCCAAAATGGTATGATGGTTCACGAGGCGAATAAAATAGTTTCGAGAAATGTCAAAACTAGGCGAAATAAATTGTATGCGACTAAAAGGATTATCAAACCTTTTTTGTTATTTTCGGTTGATAGTTTATATTATTTTAAGACTTCATCATAAGGTAAAAATAGGTAAAATATTAGAGTAAAATAAATTTAAATTTTTATATATATATATATATATATATATATATATTATATATATTACATTATATTATATATATATTATGTTATAGAACAAGATAAATTTAATTAAAAAAAACTTTTTAATAATTAATATCTATGTAGCATCTATTGCATGTAATAAAAATATTTGTTATTTATGGCAAAACAAAAGCAGCGTTTGTGTATACATAACATACTAATTCATAATTTTGAACTAAAAAAAACAAATGGAAAGCAATATGAAGATAGCTCGGTGGAGTTGAGTTCGAATTCAATAAAGGTATATTGAAGGAAATGTGGACGAACTTTGTAGTGGAGTTAAACGCTCTGGCACCTCCAATGAAAAATCAACTATGCTGACTCAGCTTCTGGTAACTCCAGTGGAGTTGATTGAACCCTTATACATCTTTTTTTTCGTCATCACTACTATTACTGGTGCACTCATCATAAGAAAATAAATTGGCATCCGATGAAAACATAATCTTATTTATTTCATAAAGTAAAAATGTTGAAAAACTGATTAAGCATAAGGTTTTCGAAAAATGTTTTTATTTTTTAATTCACGTTATTTATTTTCTTTTGTTCACTTTGTTTTTAATACTATTCACTTTGTTAATTCAGCTGTTCGCGGACGATAACAACGTGTCGGCGAATATTCGAGTAAGTTATTCGCTTCGAGTACATACTCGCTTCGCGAACTATATGAACCCTATAAGATTGATATGTAATTCATATTAAAGATATTTCTTAAATGACACTTAAGATTATTGTGAATTTTTCATTTTAAAATAATACGAATGTAATTCAGTAATCATTTGTCTTTTTCATACATATTTGGTAAAGTTTAATGAATTTTTCTCTATTACACTTTATTGTATTGTATTTAAAATTTTGTTAAAAAGACTTCGCCAGTTGTTCTATCCATCATAAAAAACGTTGTTTGAAAGTTTCTCCATAAATTTAAGATATTTTTTAACTGCGAATTTTTCATTTCTAGTTATTATTCAATTAAGTTTTTATTTAATGGCTGAACCACAATCATCCCTTTTATTGAAAAAGCAATTAGCAGGTGGGTAATTTAAGTTTAATAATGTGATATTTGTTAAAAATAGAAACAAAGACGTCTCGTCGGTAAAAAAAAAGCCAGTACCACAATTCATCGTACTCCACAATATGAAAACGATTGAGAAAAAAAAATGGGGTGCCGCAGTGCGTCCGACATTACATATTGCTCTTTACAAATTGATATTTTAATTTTAACTGACTAATAATTTGAAGTTCTAATGTAATAAAAGCAATTAAATTGAAATATACGAATATTTAAAATTATATCTGTTTGATCAAAAAATTAGAAATTTATTGAAAATCGATACAATGCTGCAGCTTGCTCGTTTCTTTTTAATTTACCAAAAAACTATATTTGATTTGAACGTTAAGTCAGAAATTATTAAACAACACCTTCAACTTAGTCATTTAAATATGTGTATATGCACGTATATATTTAAATTTCTTATTATAATCAAACAGCCTTGATTTTAACTTATTAAATTTTCACAATTTTCTTTGTCTATATTATGCAAAATTTTCTTTTCATTGTAGAATTAAACAAAAATCCGGTTGAAGGGTTTTCAGCTGGTCTAATTGATGAAAATGATATTTTTCGTTGGGAAGTTTTAATTATTGGCCCTCCAGACACTTTATAGTAAGTATCAATACACATATATGTACATATGTATATTAAGGAATATATTTTTAACTCGTGTTAAGATGTTTTTTTTTTTTAGAAAAATTTGTGTAGACATGTTGAGTTTAACCTCACTTTTTGTTTCAGTGTTAAATATTTTTTTTATAATGAATTTTCTCGAATTGATAAGAAAATGTTTATGATTCACTCAATGAAAATGTATCTTTATACGTGCATACATTTACTTATACGAAAAACTTTGAAAATCAGATATACTTGAGATTGAGTAGGTAGGCTTGGGTCATAGACATTGCTTTACATATTTTTTTGTCTTAAGCAAATCTGCAATTTTTGAATTAAATTATCGTTTTTTATGTGAGATGAATTTAGATAAAAATAAAAAATTAGTCACTCATTTTACCATGTACCTATCAATATGTAAGTAGGTAGCATGTGCCTACATACCTACGTTTTTAAAATTATATTTTACGAGCTATATTACCTGATCTTAGAGCATATTTTCTTAAATAAGAAAGTATTTTTTATCAATGTTTTATATATAAGTGAAGAAAACACTACTAATCTTATGATCAAGTTATTTATTTTTTAAAACATTGGGTTCTTTTGTCGAAATTCTTCTGTGTTATTGAATTAAATTGAATCATAATGAGATCTAAGTTTATTCAGTAATACGTTTTATTAATAGGTTACCTAATTTTTAATGTTCGGAATCCAGTAAAAATTTTCTAATTCAAACTCAATAAACAATGAACTATGTTTAGATGTAGGAACATATTTATATAAATACTAAAAATATAAGGGAAAATAAATCCCAAATCGAGTTCTACAGTTTTAAAACTATTTAGTAACGCTTGCTTTACAACTAAACCACGTGCAGAACACAAAAATGTGTAGATCATAGTGAATCACAGAAACTGTCAAATCAATTTGTTTTAAAGAAAACATATTTTTCAAATTATTTAATGTTTAGTGTTCATTCCATCACAAGAGCTCACATGTTGATCCTCAAGTTTTTTTCTCGTGTGGAAGCAACAGAAATAATAATCTGGTTATTTATTTATTGACAATTCAATTGCATACATATAAAATTTTCATGTAAAATAGCAGCAAAAAATCTTATTTTATATTTTTAAAAAGAATAACAGTGGTTGTAATATATTCAAAACACAATATTCTAATATAGCAGTTTGAGATCAATGACCAAAGCGATTTAGTCGTGAGAGCTTTGACGCGTTTGATATTCCTTGTAGAAGGTACCTACATATGTATATTATTTTCTAACAAAGTTCAAGATACTAAAATAATGATTTTAAATTAAACTTACATTGTAGACATAAATAAAATATGTAATGATTTAATATTAATATTATAAACAAAAGAGAATTTGAGTTAATTTAAAAAGGAAAACAAATAATTTTTTGAAATAAGAACAACGTTACATATATAAAACTATATTGCAGTGCTCAATTTTTCAATTTGTTTATTGTAACATACTTACACTTTTATCATAATATACATAGGTTTCACCATATGTTGTTTTCTTTATAAATTAATGTTAACTTACTTCAAATAATTAAGCGCAAGATTAAAAAAGATAAAATTCAATCAATGAGATGCTAGATTTTTTTAAAAAATCACTGTAGTAACATTTTCCTACTGTGTTCATTTATTTTATTTTAGAAAAATTTGCAACTGAATTTAATAGTATAATAAATATTAATCTTGTAATCAACGTGAAAATAAATATCTTTTCCTCAAGTTCAAGCATAAAATTCGAGTTCATAAAATTAATATTATTACACCCATATTTAGTTTCTTTTATAAACTAAACGTCAATCAGATTCCTATACAAAATTAAAACTCGATTTTTAAAGTTTTAGAATTTAAACATTCAGCATTTTGTTATTGATTGCACCAAAGCACAATAACTGGATTTAAGAAAACATTATTATATCGATTTAGAAAAGTTTAGTCTAACAATTTCAGTAACAAGATAAAAAATATCATTTAAAAAATTTATATATAATTTTAATTTTTTAATTTTAGTGAAGGCGGTTTTTTCAAAGCACATTTACATTTTCCAAAGGAATATCCATTGAGGCCGCCACGTATGAAATTTGTTACAGAAATATGGCATCCAAATATTGAAAAAAATGGTGATGTATGCATTAGTATTCTTCATGAACCTGGTGATGATAAATGGGGCTATGAGAAAGCATCTGAACGCTGGCTACCAGTTCACACAGTTGAAACAATTCTAATATCGGTGATATCAATGTTAGCTGATCCAAATGACGAATCACCAGCAAATGTAGATGCAGCTAAAGAGTGGCGAGAAGCTTATCCAGAATTTAAAAGAAAAGTTGCACGCTGTGTTCGAAAAAGTCAGGAGGAATGTTAATAGGATTCTATCTAATAATTATTAATAATTAAATATTAAAATATAATTTTTTTTTGTAATATTATGAAAAAAATCAGCAGGAAATTTCTTAATACGCAAGATAACAAAAAAAGAAGAAATTAAAAAAAAATCCCAAAAAAGCAAAAAATTTATCAACATATTTAAAAATCAAAAAAAAATATTAAAAAAAAATAATAATCAAACGGCAAGACGAATCAACAAAAAATTAAAAAATAAAGTAAAATTTTTTATATCGCAAAAATAGCGAAAAGAACTGTAAAACCCAACAGCTTATTTAAAAAGGAGATTATTGAGATAAATTATCGAAAAGCTGTTGCTAAATAAGTTCTGAAAACGCTGAGTAATAATTATAAATTGATTCCAGTTTGAAGTTGTGACACTATTCGATTTTCCATTTAAATCTTTTTATTTTTCTAAATTAAATCTAAATTTCATTATTGACAAAAAAATATTTAGAAGTACTAGACTTTTTTTAAATTGCAAACACTGTGAATTTCCGAGATTTGTTCAATTGTGCATATTGTATAATTTTTCAAGAAAGTATTTTAAAAATCATATGTATGTGTATCATTTCCAATTTCACAGTAGTAAGAAAACATTTTGTTAAATAGATATTATTAATTGTATAGAGTTTGAAATATAAAAAAAATATCTTTCCCAACAATTTTATGTAAAAAATAAAAAAAAATTTAATCGATAAATAAAATTTTACAGTGTCAAACTATGCTATGAAAACTGTAAGTAATTTTTGTAAATTTTCAATTAAACTCATTCTTTTTTATTAATTTTAATGTCTTTATTAAAATTTAGATGATTTTGATTTTAATAGCTAACATATTTTAAGTTATTTATATACTCATTCAATGATGTAATTTAATAATGAGCAAAATTTATTTTAATTTAGAATACATTTTTAATATAAAAATGTCTACTTTTCTTTTATGAACTACTATATTCATTTATAAAATAAAAAAAAGATACTTACGAAAATGAAGGGGATTCTATTCTGAATTCAATTTTCATTTTTATTAACTTAAAAGGAAAATTAGCTAATTCATTTTTATTAAAACATAATTTGGTTTTTGGTTCTTTCTTCATACAAAGGAACAAATAAAAATGGTTACTTTTATAAAAAGAGAGATAAAAGTCTTAACTTAAAATAATTTTTTTAAAATATAAATTTAGAAAATTTTAAACATTGATGTCATTTTAATTTTATTTTATAAAAATATAACTAATTAGGTAAATTAAATATTGATTTATTCCGTAAGTCACATTAAGTCAACTTTGTAGTACTGATAGTCCAATACCTTAACTCGGAAAGTATCGAAATTCCATTTAAATTTATTTTATTCATATTACATCATTAAACAAAATATTAACATTTTAAATATTTATTACAAGGTGTTGAGCATTCAAAATACGAATTAAGATTTTAAATTTAGCTCAATATAAATGAATTAATATTAAAATCAATTCATTTTGTTTTTTTATTCAAAATCGAAATTTGTCATTATAGAATGAATCAATATATATTTGGTTGACCAATGTATTTATCAATATTAAATAAATGAAAACTATGGAGCCCTAAAACTTCATAAAAGATACGAAAATAATTTGAAATGAGTGGAAATGTAAACAAGTAGACGTATTGTTTGATAATTTCTAAATAAAACATGTAAATGAAATTTTCTAATTATCACATCGTATTCAAAATTTATTTATTTGAATATGTATGTACATGCATGTTTGCGTTTTGTTGCTAACAGTTTAATCTTTAAAAATCATGATCTTATATATCAAAGATATTTATTGGATTTGTTTATCAATTTTGTTGCAATATATATTTCCTTTTTTTGAGACGATTTTTTTTTTTGTTTTGGGAAAATATTAAATCTAGAACACAATTCAACAAACTTGCTTTCGGACTGTCCAATTTCAGAATACAAAAATTCTTCTACCAAATGTCATTTTCACACGCTATAAAGTCAGGAAAATATTGCATCTGAAATTATTTTATTTACTGATAATATATATAAATGACATCATTATTTTAAAAAATTTAATGAAACATTGAAATAATCAAAAACAGACATTTTTGAATAAAATCCACAGTTTAAAAATACAAAACCAATTTAAATTACTAAAAAAATTAACAAAAAAAAAACAATAAAAAAAGATAGAACATAGAAAAAAAATTTTGTACATTTACTATTTAAGAATAATGATAAAAGAGTTATAATTTACATTTTAGTTAGAAAAAAAACAATTATGAATATTTTGCCCTTTTCTAACTAAAAGTTTGAAAAAAAAATTGAAATTTTTTTCATTCTTAATTATTTGAAGCTTTTTGAACACACTTACCTAAATCTCTTAGAAGCATGGCTTGAGATAATGGGTTATAATTTAAAAGTTAAGTTTTCATTACATATAGATTTTCAACTTCGAAATTTTCAAATTTTTCAAATAACACTCTGTAGCTTCAAGAGATGTATCTAATATAAGTGGTTTAAAATTCTGTAGAATGTGGTACGGGTACAGTTGAAAATGGTAGAAGTGCGAGTAATAATACTTATTATATATTTTTCAGATGCCCTTAGTTCAAAATATTGTAGAACTAATTTTAATATTGAAATTTAACTTTGCCAAAATCGAAAATTGAATCTATTTCAAACTTTTTGATTTAGTTTATCTGAACAAAAACATAAATCATCATAGTTCTGCAAAATATTAGTTTTTTTGTCTTTTTACTTAAAGAAATTTTGCGAAAAGAAAATAAAAAAGCGAAAAGAATTAAGAGGGTTTAAAAACTAACTCTCGAAAACTTTTTAAGCTGCAATTGCATGTAGAAATAATAAGAAGTAGAAACAACAAATTTACATCCTAAACTAGTTACATATGTTCATAATTGAAAAATTTTTTTTTTTTTTTTCGGAAAATTAGTTTTCAAAGTTAGAACTCAGCCTCAAAAGATCTATTTTAATTAGTATATAAAGCTTATAAACTTTGCAAATCTAACTTTAAAAACTAGATTTTCCAAAAACGTTTTTACTTTTCAAATATGCACGTTAATTTAAATTATTTGGAGACTACGCGGTGTTAAGAATATTTACTTGTAAGTAATGAAAAATCCTTACAAATATAAACGAAATATTATCTGAGATAAAATGCTAAATTAATTTTTTTGACATTAAAAGTTAATAGATTTTCTTAGTTAAATGTAACATTTAAATATATTTTTGTTGTTCAAAAATTAAACGAAAACTTTAGTTTAGTAAATTTTCAAGTTTGTGCAGTTTAGTGGAAAGAATTTTATGTTTTGCATTTTTTTATAGAATACATCAAATTATTTGTAATTGATTTAGCTTATAAAACATTTAGCTACTGATCTTAGTATTGCACAACACAAGCAAAAATAAGTGTGACACAGATATTATGTATTTAATTTCTGAAATATTAATATTTTCATATAATGATTTCTTCACTTTATTAATATATTCTTTTTTATTGTATTAATCAAGTTTTGAATAACAGAATGTGACAAAACTATCGAAACTAGTTTTTATACAGAATAAATTATATGTCGAGGTATAGTTTCATATGATCTACAAATTTTACTCGTACTTTTCATTCTACCAAGCACACCTTTGAATCCCATGTCTTAATAGCGACAATTAAAAACAGAAACCTATTTTAAATTATGAAGTATAAAAAGGTAAAAGCTGAACAATCAATTAAAGTTTTGTGTAGGTTTAGATTTATTAGTTAAGTAACAATTATTTATTTAAACAAAAATTCGTTCTTTAAAAAAAATGAGGTTCAATACTTAATTCAGGAAAATTGAAGTAAGATATATGTATGTATGTATAAAAATGCATAACTCTAATATGTATATGTATATAAGAAATACATCGTATCTACACGCATATTATACATATGTTAACTTTCTTCAAATAAGAAGAATACAAGTTAAAAAAAACTGAAAAAACTCTGTATCATTATTTTATTATTATTTAAGTTTTTTTTTCCATTTTTAGCATTTTCAATCATACATTGATGTAAAAACGATAGTTAAACAATAACCAACAATTAATTAAATAATTTCTATAAATTAAAATAAAAATATAACAAAAAAATTTTTTGTATGTATATATACATATATAAATTTCTTTTTAAAAAGTTTCCTGATGTTTTTATATTATTAAATTAAATTATACCATACATATTAAAAATATACCTTTTTAATTATTGTAATAATTATAATTAAATTTTTATTATAATTCTAGATCTTTTATAATTTTTCGGTTTCAATATATATATATTTTTTTCCATTTTATTTTAGTTTTGTGTATGTGCATTTTTTTAATTTTAATTGAAAATAAAATTGCTTTAAAAAAACTCAAATATGAAATATAAAATATGCTTTTGATTGCAAAAATCCTTTTTTTTTTTAAGTAGAAAATTACATTTGTTTCAATCTAATTTTGTTTGTTGTAGTTGAATATGTGCTTACTTCGACTAATATAAATCGATTACTGAAGCAAGCCAAAAATATTTTAAGTTTTTTAATATTGGTTAAATTATTAATGATTGTAATAAAATTTAAAATACGCCTCGTGTAAAATATACAGGGTGTTTCGTATAAGGTGGCAAATAATTTCAGGCATGATTCTTTGATCAACTTCTTGGAAGAAATTGTGGAGTGGGGGGGGAGGGGTGCAGATAAACGCTACAGCCTGTTGAAAAAAAGTGTACCAAATTTTTTCAGCATATAAATAAATGCCTATAATTTTCGAACCATGTGACATAGAGTAACCATCAAAAGCTTGTTTTGCAGGCGATTGATTGCTCTTTATTATAGATTAATCTCGTCAAAGTCAGAATTTTTTTTTAAATTGTTTTAAAAAACTTAAAAATTTTTGAAAACTTATTATTTTTTTATTTGTTCTTTCAATTTGTAAACTAAAAAGGAATCGTCTCTTCAAAAGTTACAAAATTTAACAAAATTGGCATGACAGGAATAAGCTTCAAACACTATAAGATAACACGAGATAATTTTTGTTTATGCCGTGTTAAAAAGGTTTTTGTGTAAATATTTTCCAATAAATGACATTCTTGACTTCCATATTGTAAAAAACCAGTTTTCAAACACTACCTTTAAACTTGAGTTTTTAAGCTTTTTTACTAGATTGCTAAAATAATGTTTCAATATTTAATAAACTCCTGTTTAGATTTTAATTTTAATAAATTTTAAATGTAGTGGTAGCACCGCTTAAACAAACTTTACAAAAGGCATCGAGAAATTTTTCGAGACGTCCTTTGTTTTTTACTGTGAGTAAAAAGAGTTAGAGTTTACTGTGAGTAAAAATTTAAAAGAGTTCCCAAAGAATTTGAATAATGCCATATAAGTATGTATATATATCAGGCCACCAAGCTCAGGGAGTAAATCAAAAATAAATTCCAAATTTATATGGAGTTTAAATGGAAGAGGTGTCGGAATTTATTTGTGTGAACGAAATTGATCAATATTTTTGGCTCTACTGATTCTACATATTTTTTTAAACTTAAAATTTAAATTTCAAAAAAATCGGTTTATAAATTCCATCTGCAAAATGCATTTAAAAGAAAAATTGCAATTTTTAGCGCAGACAACCTTTCTCGTCTTCCAAATGTAGGGGTACTGAATTACAGAGTAAAATTTTTGAATAAGAAATAGAATTTAAGAATAAATTGAAAAAAGCGAAAAAAAATAATTGAAAGGGTTAGAAGAATAAGAAGTTAAGTGACATTGTTCTCAAAAATCGTTTTTTGGCAGATTTAGTCTTTTCAAAACATTGCGCATTTTTTACAAAACCCGTTTTTCGAAATATCAAATTTTACGGTATTTAG